AATTAAGATAGTTATGCTACTAGTTCCTCTTAGTTTATTGAAAAAAAAGGTTTGTGCTAATATTGTTCATACAATATTCCATCCCTATATCTTGTACTATGAGTAACTACATTGAAGATAACAATACACAATGTATTAATTATTGCTATTCTATTATTTTGTTTTGAATTTTTTTTGGAAGTCTTTTCTCTTTAAAAAACAGCTATAATGGCACAGCAAAAGAAGAAATTTTTAAAAAGGAGATCTTGACACTTGAAATATTACTGTTAGAATTCATGTTGTGCTAAAACAAGCTTTATTAAAGTGTAAATTAATCTAAATTACTTGGCTTTTCATGTAAGTGACCTCTAAAAAACAGATGAAATATTAATAGATATTTCCCCTACAAGAATAGAACCCAAGGTACTCTAGAGCTGATATGGTGACCCTCCATATGGAAACTCCAGGCCATCCAGGTCTCCGCTCTGTCCTGGCAAGGTGGACACAGTCTGGTGCAAGGTAGCACTAGTGTTAAGATAAGGAAGAACAGTTGATTGTCCCCCCACCCCCACTCTTCACAAACATCTCACAGGTCTCACCAGTGCTGACACTAGCTACAAAGGAACTGGCAGACTTCAATTGCAAAACATGTGCCCAGCTTATGATTAGGGTTGTGTTAATTTGAGGAAGTTGAGCAGAATGACCTTCAGTAGGAAACTGTCTCTGCCAGACTCTGGGAGGGAGTCATTAGTCACCAGCCCTGGAGTGAATAAGCCTATCATCTCCTTTCTACAAATCAGGTTTCTTAAGCAAGAAGGACCAGGGAGTATATGAGGATACCAGGCCGGGGGAGTGGAGCTGCAGAGTGGACTGAACAAAGAATACTGAAAACAAACTAGTTTCATTTTGCAATTCTATTAAGGCTCAGCATTTACTCAGCTTTTTCTAACATACTTCTATGTAAAGAGCTTGGATTTTACACTAATAAAAAGAGTGGCCATGTCATGTACCAGTTATATTTATTTTATTTCAAAGTCCTCAAATATTTCTTAAGAGGTTTAATCACACTTTTGGTTGTATTCTTTTCCCCCTCCCCCCTTTTCTTAAATAAAAAGACCTTCTAATGCCAAAATGGGTTTTGGATTTACATGGTTACTGCATTCATCTCTGTGAGTTTGTTTCTGTCTTCCCATGAACCCCAAAGGGAATGGAAAAAAGACATCATATTGATAAAATGTGAGCCTTCCAAGACATTCTTTAAATGTCCAATGTGCAAATATGGTCAAAATAAAACATTCAGTCCAACTGAGTGAACATTTCTCCACAGATGCTTGGAGAGAAGTTGGCTGGCTTTGCAAAGTGGTTCTCTTTATAAACTAGCAACATGGCTTTATGATGTGTCTGGGTGACAGGCCAATTTCTTAAGTGTTTTAAGTATATGTATTTAGTATTTTCCTGCTTTTAGAACTAACTGAGTAGAGCAACTGACAGTGCTGTGCCACGGCACATTGCCTTAGCCAAGCCACTGGCAGATGCGGCACAAACTGCTCCATCAGACATGCCAGCTGCCAAAGAGTTCACTGGCTTTCAGCTACCTCATCTTTTATTCTTCGATTCTTTGTATCATGATAAGAGAGAAATTTCAGGAAGAAAGGGATAGTAACCAAAAAGATGAAGACTCAAATGGAATTTTAAAAGGTTCTGTCATGTTTGCTTAAAGAATGTTTTCAATACACAAGTACTGTGCACAGCAAAGTTCTGGCACTAATGAAAATGAGTTCTGATTGCAAATGGAGCACTCTGGCCTTTGTGGAAACCTTCACTTTTACCCTGGGCCCATAAAGACAGACACAGCAGCACCCTTCTAAGCTGCCCCCTGCTCCAGTCCTCACCCTTGGCTGGGTATGTACACTCCCTGTAAGATGGTGGTGAGATCTGTACTCTGCTTCATTCAAGAAAATAACTTTTATCTAGAAAACCACATATGTAGCAAAATGAAATGATCTGCTGCTTAGGGAAAAAACCTGGTCTTCTTGAAGCCCCAGTCTTCTTTCTGCTTTTTCCATCTGTGCAGCCTGTCCCCTCCCTTCTGCCTGTCCTTCTTCTAGAAGGGAGCACAATGGCTGATGAGAACTTAGTTACCTTCCCAGCAGGCATATGAATAGGACATTAAAACAGGCTTACAAAGTAAAGGGAAGAAGTCCTGCTGGTAGAATTTAAAAGGAATGAATAATGGAAAGAACTGCACATGGGAGCCAAAGAGGGCTGGAACTGACTCCAGTTCTGTCATTTAGAAAGTGTCTTGGGCAACTTCTTTTCTGAGTCACAGTTTGTTTATAAAATTGAACTAATACCTGCTTCATTGTACTTTGATAATTAACTGAAATTATGTACATAAAAATCTAGTGCAATATGTGGCACACAAATTTTACTGTCTTACTTCATTAGGAGGGAGACATAAGAGTTGTAGGAACAAGTCATGGGGCTTTCTTAGTATTCTAACCTGGGAACAGAATTGACTGTGAGTATGTGTGTGCTTTGGAAATATAGAGTTTAAGGGAAGGGAGGTTCGTGGATTATACTGATTTTTCTTTTCCTTTTTCAATGGGTCTCACTACACAGCCCAGACTCATAGTGATCCTCCTATTTAAAGCCTCCCCAGTGCTGGGATTACAGGCATGCACCACCATGCCTGGTCTCAGTGGCTGGCTCAGCATGTGGTGCTGGGGATCAAACCCCAGATCCTGTGCTTGCCTAAGCAGGCACTTACATTTGCTGAGCTATCTCACCAGCCCTGAACTGATTTTTCTAATCTGTATTCTTCAGTACTCTAAGTATGTGAACTTTCTGGCATAAGGGAGAAATGGGAAAACAAATCAAAAGGGCCTTGTTAAACAAGAAACCAGAATAATAGAGTAAAGTGGCTTGGGAGCTATTTCACCCATGTGCCAATAAAACTTAGTGAAATGTTTATCCTGTTTCTTATGTTCTCTAGGATCCACTTTCTCCTCTGGAGGGTACAAATCAAGTGATAAATTTTTCTGAGTTTCACTTTTTTTTGTTGGCCACTGTTTGGGGCCAACACATTTTTTAGCCACATGTGTTAATATCACTGTCTTAGGATGTGTCAAAATGAAGAATAACTTCCTTCCCTGTGCCAGACCTGATCTGATACTCTCAACTGCAAAGATTCAGATTTGTCTTGGCACCAAAATCGAGGCACTAGCTTTGATCTCAGTGTCTTGTTTCTGTGTCGCCTGACCTGCACTGTTCACTTGTCTGAGTTCCTGGGTTGGGGTGGTATGCAGAGCCTGGTCTTCCTTCAGGTGCAATTCCTGCTGTAATCCAAAGGACACTTTAGTGAAAGGCCGTGTCCGCCCTTTTGGCTGGCCTGGGCAGCAATAAATGAAGAGAAATTGTCTTGGACAAAATATAAATTAAGAAAGCTTGCATGACTGCTAATGGTAATGAATGCCTGTTTTCACAGATACACACATGGGAAATTGAAATACAATCATTGTGATCAGATTTTACTCATTAAATTGCAAAACAGTATGTACTTCATGATTCAAGCAGGTTTCAGCTGACCTGTGTGTTGTCCCATGTGTAGCCCAAGTTCAATCCCTGGCAAGTGATGTGAGAAAATATCCGTAAAAAGTCACGCGAAAATATTGCAAAGATTGTGGGGCTGTGTGGGCTTCAGCCTGGACACGACAGCGCTAGAGTCTGTTAGCCATCTGGGAGATGAACAAGGTGTTTTGTTGAGATTTCTGAAAACAATCTTCGGGTATAGATTGTCAGCTCCTGCTAAATTCACTCATAGCCCTTCCTGTGATAAAAGCTACTTAGGCTTCTGCCCATAACACCATCTTTTTCATCCTGCCCGGCTTTTCTGGTTCATTTAAGAAAAAGAATGGCCAATTTTTATAGGAAGTATTTTAAAGACACACATATTGAAAACAAGAGTGAATTTGAACCCAAAATGCATCACACTTGACCATCCTCATTCCATGGAAGATAGGCAGCTATTTCACAGGGTTCTTTGCTTTACAAATTTCAATAAAATTGGTATCACTAATACTAGTGGAAACTTTTTTATTTTAAAAAATATATTAAGAAGTCCACAGGCTTATACAACTGTCACAGGGATCCATGCCACTAAACGCTAGGAATCCTTGAGACGTAGGAGGTATTTCTACACGATCTCTTGATTTCTTTCTTTTTCTAATTACTTTTGAGAGACAAAGAGCAATGAGACAGGTTCAAAACATTAGTAGGACAGTTACAATAATTAGTACATTGCATATTGTTGTCTTTGTAGTATTTATTCACAGTACAAGATGCAGACATGATATCCTGTCCAAACACTATTAGTACAAATCTTTCTTCTCACTGAATTAAGAGAAAGTAGCTATATATCTATCCTATTTTGTGTATACAGATACAAAATGGTCCTTCATTTGTATCCCCTTTTTTTGTTTAGCTTTGTCAGATATGGGTATTCTGTTGCCATTTAAATATTGTAGGTATGTGAATTCAGCAAAATAATCCAATAGAGTCCAGTAGTCCATACTACGGATAAAAATCTCTTGATTTCATTAATCCAGTTTTCCCAGTTCCCAATTGTCTTCCTCAGTTTCACAACCCTGGGCTGAGTCTTGGTTTGTTTCTCTGGATCAGTGTTGTGCTGGCTTTGTTAACCTTTGGGCAGAACACTGCTTTCAGTACAGCAACAGTACAATTCATAAATAAAAATATTTTCACATTTATTTTAATGTTTGTTGACCAAATCACATGTGCTGATTGTTATGCAAACCAAAGAGAATACAAGGCCAGTTAAGAACAGATATGCCTTCTATCAGTTGATGATCTAAGGAGTCTGTGTGTGTGTGTGTGTGTGTGTGTGTGTGTACGTGCGTGCATGCATGCATGCAAGTGCGTAATAACTTCTTGATTTATTCTCCCACTTCACTCCACAGATCTTTGAGACAACTCAGGTTCAGTGCGGACTTCCCGACCTCACAGACTGCTGCCTTACGTGGAAGCTGAGCAACAGTCTTCAGGTCCATGCCACACTGGCAGCAGCAGCATGCGCCCTCAGCACAGCCAACCTTACTACCCTTCACTGTAATCTGGAGCCCAGAATGAGTCTGGCCTGAAATTAGACCAGGTACTAAAGAAAACCTTCTTTGTTAATGGAAAGAGGAAAAGAGAAAAAGATTTCCAACCAGCTGCAACAAATGTTCTGCCGCTCTAAGGAGCCTACCTTCTTTATTGACCAAGCTGTGCTGTCTCCTGACTCCTACTCTAACCTTTTGCCAGAAGTAGAGTGTATCAATCCCATTGAAAAACTAAAGACAAGTACTCAGCCAAATAGACCTGGAACAGTAATACTTTCAAAACAGTCTAGTAGAACTATGTCTGAAGGCCAGCCTCATCCCCCAGTAATACTGTCCCGCAGGCCTGGGCTCCGGATATGCTACATCTGTGGCAGAGAATTTGGGTCACAGTCACTTGCCATTCATGAGCCCCAGTGCTTGGAGAAGTGGCGTATTGAAAACAGCAAGTTACCGAAGCACCTGAGGAGGCCAGAACCCTCCAAATCACAGCCCGGCAGTGGCAGTGGGACCTACAGTGTTCAGGCAGCAAATGAGGCAGCGTTCCAGAGTGCCCAGGCCCAGCTGGTGCCATGTCAGTCCTGTGGCCGCACATTCTTGCCAGATCGTCTCCTTGCTCACCAGAGAAGCTGCAGGCCAAAGGGTGAGGGTCCCAGAACATCAAACCTCAACAGTTCTGACAATCTTACTAGCTTCAGGAAAATGTCTAGTGGTATCCCAGCCAGACCAAGGACTCTCACCTGCTACATTTGTGGGAGGGAATTTGGCACTCTGTCCCTTCCTATTCATGAGCCCAAATGCCTACAAAAGTGGAAAATGGAAAACGACCGGCTCCCCAAGGAGCATCGCCAGGCACCCCCACAGAAGCTTGAGACCCTTGCGTCTATACAGTCTAGCAAAGAAGGCTCAAACCACACCCAGCTTGTGTCCTGCATAAACTATAGCCAGACCTTTGCCCCCAGTGACCTTCAGGAACAACAGAGAAGTTGTAAAGCTCAACCTGCTGTACCAAAAGTTCAGAATTTGGACTTAAGGAGCAAAAGTAACCTAAATACTCCCACCAGTTCTGAGCAGCAAAAGAACATGGCAACACCCAGTATACCTAGTAAGGTAATTAGTGCTATATAAGATGCATTAGCTGTACTTGGGGGTACATTCTGCCTCCAGGGTAATGAGAGAAAACCGTGCTCTAAGTTAGCTGCTTCTCTCGTCGGGATGTCTCATTTCTGCCTCAATGTAGCCTGTCCAAGTTGACTCCTGTTGGATTCCAGAGTCTCTATCTCTCTTGGCAGAGTAAGTTTAAGAATATCTTTGCCTAATGGGTTCATATTCTTCTTCAGTCCTGCTGCCTAAAGGAGAGACAGACTTCTTTCATGCATGACCCCTCATACCAATAACCCTTGGGAGAGATTGTTATTTGAACATGAGTCATTGATGCTTTGTCTACATTACAGAAATATAATTCTCATTCCAACAGCCGAAATTTATTGTTGGTTCATTTTAGTCATCTACCTTAGGAATTCATTTCTGGCAATGTCAGGTTACACTGAGTTTATCTTACTAAAATAGAATCTGTGTCAAAAACCTCAAATGACTTTGGCAATAATTAAGCATTGGAGTACCTTCAGAATACACATGCTCTGCAAATACAGCATGCTTTTTATTTTAAAGCACATGATTATAAGTGGAACACAATCCCAGAACAGACACTGAGACAACTAGTCATATGTTCACAGTTCTGGGAGGCATACAGTCCACCAGCTGCTCTAAACTCTGGGTTGGACTGATCACAGGGTCCTGACCCTCAAGACAGGTCACTCTAAGGAAGCACAATCCCAGGTATGTCTAACCTGAATCGTGAAATTATTTGGCTTTTATACTCTTATCATCAACTACAATTGGGTAGGCATGGAGGGTGGCTACACACAAGAAAGGGTATATAGTCCATACTCTCTACCCTGTAGGCAAGCCAGAAGGTGAATGTACTTTTATCAAAAGGTCAAAATAGGAGATGATCAGCCTCTCCTTTATGGCTTACTACTTAAGTAAATGCCCAACATGCTCGAACTCCCAAAATCACAGCTTTTCAGTAGCAAGGGGTCCTAAAGTCTTCAGGAGCTAATAAGTTTTTAAATTGTTTTAGTGGAACAAAAGCTATTCAAGCTATTGTAAAATATTAAGTTAGAGGGATGAGAAGACATCTTTTATTTTTAATTTATTCTTTAACCTTATTTTATTTCTTTGGAGACTGTCTAGTCTATTCCTAAGTTGCATGCTTAAATGAAATGACTGGATTTTCTGGTTTAGTAGATTCCAAGACAATGATTCTAAAACCAAAGAGTCAGACTAACAGATGCTGGCAAGTTTTCCTATGACCATTGAACTAGAAAATGGCTAGTTTCTTTGCCTAATGAAAACCCAAACTCTAAGGTGTGACATGGGCTTCAAGCTGGTCTCATAAATATGATCTGTTTTTCCCATCTTCCAGCTGCTGCTTTTCTTCCAAAATGTGTGGGGTCTGGAATCAGAGAGTAAAAAGATCTCTGTCAAGGTCATAAATCAAAAACTCTCTTAGCATTCTAACTTACAAACCCTGTTTTTTGATTGTATACATTTACCCAAACGTTATTAGAGAGCTAGAGATAGAGTGGTGTGGTTATTGTAGTATATTTTGTGTTATAATTCTGGAGCCAACAGGGTGAGCACAGCCTGTTCTCACTCAGTCACGACTGCTAGAGGAGCCTGGCTCATACCACAGGTGACACCTTCCTGACTCACCCAGTCATCTGGAGGAGAAAATGTCAGAAGGAAAAGGCAGCAGTGGCCCCTCAGTAATTGTGCATGCAGATAAGAGCCAGGGGGTCCCTGGAAGCCAAGGCTGTGGCCAAGGGCTTCAAGTCTTGCTCTCAGGCCTGACCCCCATATGTCGTTGAGCAGCTGGCACCCACAATGTCAGAGGGGCACTGGCTGCTTTGGGAACCATGGAGGCCTCAATGGAGGACACAGAAATGTCATCCAATGTATAGCCTTCAAAGTTTCCAGATGAAAACTTTTCATTACCACATACAAAACAGGGTTGATTACTTAAGATGAAAGAAAGCCTTAGGCTTCAAAATTCCTAAGTTCTCTGACCTTGGCAAGTCATTTCCCATCCCCCCACTTTCAGCACTAAACCCTTTGTTCACAGTACTGCTTTCTTTTTCTTCATACCACGTGAACTTTAGAATGTAGTGCAGTGATTCATGGGCTCTACATAATGAGTACTACCCTGTACTACATCCAGTGCATTTCAGAATCACATCTGCCCATGACAGCTGACTTTTGGCTCATGGTGGTGCGAATGCACTTACAATGTTCTGCTTTTACAATGTCAGCTTCATCTCTTCTCTGTCTGAACAGCTTTCCTCTAGGACTCTTGGCCTGACTACAGATTAGAATCTGCTGTCTTTCCTTTCTCAAGGGGCTCAGCATGAATTCAGATAAAGGAAACACTTTCAGAATCATGAGTGTGGTGTTTGAAAAACAATTTACTCTAGTCAGGTGACAATGATTGTTTTACTGACGAAGTATATTGCCCTTTGCTCAGAAAGTTCCTCCAACAGAGAATGATTCAGTTCCCTTATGACACAAATACATTTGAAATTGTTCAATCAAATCTAAGCACAAATAAAGATAAGACAAGCTCTCCTGAGAAATCTTGGTGGGCATCATCTCTGCCCTGTAACCACTGTATCGGTTCAATTTTCCCATTGTTACTGCTTAGCATCTGAGATACAGGCACAACTTACTCTTCAGACCTCACTAAAAAAGCTGTGAAAGATATGAGCAGTATTTAAGAGGAACAGAAGCTTAGGGTTCATTTTGTAAGTGTGGCTTTCTGGGACCACTGCTCTCCCACTCCATGGTAGAATGAGCAGCACAGTGCTGCCCTGCTTTCCTCTGAAAGAAGCAAAGCCTGGATGAACAATACTGAATTTGGAAGGATTTTTTTTTAATGTATGTATTTGGTACAGGGTCTCACTACACAGCTTAGGCTCGTAGTGATCCTCCTGTTTTCAGCCTCCCCAGCCCCGGGATTACAGGTGTGTGCCACCACTCAGTTTCGGTGGCCAGCTCAGCACGGGGCTGGTCCTGCCTGTGGTACCGGGGATTGAAACTGGGTCCTTGTGCTTTGCTGTGTGGGTGCTTAGATCACCAAGCTATCTCCCTCTGTCCCCTGAATTTAGCAATTTTTAAAATATAGTGTTAATTCCAGATAAAATGCTGATGCAGAATACAGAAAACCAGTTTCTTGTGGGGGGAGGGCGGCTCAGCCAACCCTGAGTGTGGGACTGGCATGGCATGTGGTGCCCAAGGATCGAACTGCAGCACCTAAGTTTGACTAAGCAGGTGTGTTAGGCCTCTGCATTATCTTTCCAGCCCCTAGATTATTATTTTGAATGTTAATCTACTTAATAAAAACTTTGATGTTTATTTAATAAATTATTCCTAAGCTATACTGAGGAGTATAATAGATGTCATTATTCCTTATTTGAAGGTAAACAAATAAGTTTTAATAATTGCATTTAATATCTGGCCCTTTTCTAGAAGATGATAATAATTTATTCTTCAACTTTAGATCCTTTTAGGCTAATTGGCACAAAAGTTGTCAGGGTTAAATAAATGTAACTATAAATCAAAACAGGGCTTTTGCCTAATCACTTTATTAGGTAACACTTAAAGTTATCTTATTAGGATTTTTCTGGTAACATAAAAATACTATCCCTAAACATCCTGTCCCATACTATAAAACAAGTGTATTTTCCTTAAGAGACACTATCTTTTCTATAAATGACTGTCTCTCAGAATGTAGTTTAAAACTCCTGGCATCCGCAGGGCTCAGACTGACACAGAGGTCTTCAGCCACATCCCTAGCATCTGGTGCTGCCATCTGCTGTTTTGTTTTAAAGCAATGTTTTCTTCACTATTAAATATATTATGCCTTTCTCCTCTTTGTTTTATTGCCAAATATATTTGAAAAGTTGCCCTTACAATATCTATTGTAAGTTTATAACTATACATATAGCTACTTAGGACTATAAGTATTTATTACAGATTTGATTTAAACAAATGTTCTATACTGGCAAAGAATCACATTCTTTACAACTTGAGTGATCCATGGAGGTGGCAGGGCAGGATGGCCTTGCTCATGCTGTCACACTTTGTATGTCTGTGTGCACATCTGCTAGGTAAGACGAGAGTCCGTTAAATGCCTTTATAACAAAATACCTGATGTTGAAGCTTTTTTTTTTTTTTTTTTTTTTCCGGAACCGGGGATTGAACTCAGGCCCTTGTGCTTGCCAAGGAAGCGCTTATTCTAGTGAGACAGCTCTCCAGCCCAGACATTTATAAAGGACATAAATTCATTTCTCTCAGTTCCAGAGGCTGAGAATTTAAGGGTCAAGGCACCAGCAGGACTGGTATCTCTGGAGAGCTGTTCTCTGCTTCTGAGATGACCCTTGGTGACGGCCTGCTCTGAAGGGAAAGAATGCTGTGACAGAAGAGGTGGAAGGGCCAGTGTGTGCTTCCCTCCTTTAGACAGGTGGAAGGAGTCAGGAATGGGGGATATGGAAGGAGAGGGAAGGGCAACAGGGGAGCAAAGTATTTTATAAGTGTGTATAAAAATGTCAAATTAACTTACTCTTCTGGATATTTAGAATACACTAACAGAAATAAATGTAATTAATTCATTTTTAAAAAGAATGTTGGCTTTGGCTTTGACTCCTTTTATAGGAGTAGAATCCTATTCATGTGGGTGGAGCCTTCATAATTTAATCTCCCAAAATTTCACTGGGGATTAAGTTTTAACGTGAATCTTGGAGAAGACACCATCTTTCAAACTACAGTCTCATCATTTCACCTGTACAAATATTGCTACAAGGTAGATACTATCTTCCCTGATTTCCAAGAGCGAAGGCTGAGGTGAAGCAATTGGCCCCAGTTGCACAATAAGCTCACAGCAAGGCAGTCTGCCCTTTTCATGTCTGTGAGAGAGGAAAAGAGAGATAAGAAAAAAGGATATGATCATCCCGCAAGGCTGGAGTATCAGGTAGAAAAAGGAAAGAAATGTT